TAATGACCCATCACTTTATTTCTTCTTTTCTGCCCTATCACTTATACTGCATTCTCCTCAAACCATGGTCACTAAGAGAGCACTGAGAATGCTGTGTGTGTATAGAACCTCCTTCTTTGCCTCCCTCTGCTTTGTCTTTGCTATCCTACATATCCAGACTTAACAGTGAAAGTTGAATCTGGTGCACTTCATTGCCCAAAATTTTAGTGTCAAGATGAAGCCAAGTTAATTTCTAGATCTGTTCTACAAACATCATAAAATTTCCCATCTTAAGGTACCTGTTTTCTGAGGGAGATAATTGACATCCATCAGAACCATCCATAGTGAACCATGTACAAAAGGTGCTGGCTTGTTTATAAGCTCAGTGTATTTAATAGGTAAACTTGGCGAGCTGTGCCATCATCAACTTTATTTTGAAGTATTTGGCACCAGAGAAAATCAGGGGTTTTGTTGAACTGAAACTCCATGGGTGGCTTCCAGCCATAGCTTTTCAGTCTTACTCATCTACGATGATTCCATAATGACTGATGTAAGTGAGAGATACTGCATGGGTACCAGCAGATCATGGTTTCCTCTTTCCCCACTTTCTGTCCTCTGCCCTAGGAAAGCTAGGTGGTGGTGATTTTTGTTGCTGCTGTTGTGTTTTAAACCACTAGTACATTAAAAAATCTTTAGTTTTAGATGATAAAAATCTAGAAACTGTACCACTCTAATTAGTATTGCATATACTGACTGTTTAAGCAAAACAATTTAGTATGCCATCTTGAAAGCCAGGCATTTTTTGTGCTTGCTGTCACAGGTCATGTGGTTGAATTGAGTGCCATTTCCTCTACAGAAACTCATTGTTTGGTGTAGGATGATATTAGATGCAACCTCTCTACAGAGAATTAAATTCTGTCTGCATGTATACCTATTAATATGCCATAACACAATTACTGTGCTTAGCTTATCTGAAGACGTAGAAGGTCCTTATTCATAATATTCTTATCTGTGGAAGAAATCAGGCATTCTTGCTCAGCAGGGTTATCTCAAAGCATTTTTATTGTCAGGCTGAAAGATTGTGGAATAAAGCAGTGATGCAGGTGCAAACCTAAAGCAGAAAGTATGGTCACTACACACTGGTTTCGTTTTGAGGAACCTGCATGAACTTTTTCAGACAACACGTTCCTCTCAAAAACTAACAATTCCCAGTTTTCTGGATTTCTTGTACAGTAGTGCTGTCTTAGAACACAGCAACAAGAAATTTAACATGACAAGGCTATCTTCCAGAAAGCAGTATTTAAACCACTACTCTTTTGGTTTCCTAGCTAGCTTCTCACCTATGGTTTATATGGATTGTCAGAGCATTCCCTTGCTGCAGTGCCTGTAAGTGAAAGTCATCCTGATGTCATTGAAAATGTACTGGGCTTTTCTTCAGCAGCTGTTTTGTACCCATGTTCTCAGCATTTCTAGAAAGAATCACCTTGAAACTTCTTTTTATCTCCTGACTGATTAGTGTCTTCTGCTTTGTACAGAGTGAAGAATCTAGGCCAGTTTTCTGGAACACCAAGATCTTCCTTTTTTCCCAGCTCACGCTCCAGTAGACCTATTATGCTTTGTGCTAATCCTTGAGTCCTAGAGGGATGCTGCTTTATTATTGGGCTTACTAATATTATTGGGCTTTACTAATGCTGGATCATGCAACTGCTTTTAAGCCAGGTAGTTGAAAATTATTGTGTTGATGCATATGTAAACCACAAAATTACTATTAGCATAATTTTTTTTAAATCTAACAGTTCATGATAGAGAAGGTTCCTGTCACTGTGCTGACTAGGAGCATTTCACTTATTCCTTTTGTGTCCTCTGCGCTCTATGTGTTCATTTACAACTTGGCAAATATCCTAGCCCCAAATCCTTGGATAACAGCCACTAGTAGTCAGTGGAAAATTAATGTTTTTTTCATGCATCATGATCAGAAAAATTGTTCACACTCAATAGCAGCTATAGGCTTTAACTTATGCTTCTGTTAAACAGCAAACAATAATGTTTAGGCTTCTGAAGGTAAAACTGTGTGGGCTGTAGGATCATATTGATCACTTGAACTTCAGGTTTGGATTGAAGTATTCATTGTCTTCTGGTGTCTGAATAACTAACATTCAGTTAGGTAATAACTAAAAGAGTGAGAGAGTTTACAGAAGCTACTTTTAAAAATACCGAAAGTGATAAAGACTGAGATGTATACAGTAGGTTTTAATGACCTTCAGTTATAAAATACTGAGTATAAATGCCGGAATTGCATCTTTCAATGTAATTGATAAAGGCTTTGCATTTAAATATATATTTTCTAATTTAAGAAATCTTAATTGTATTAGGTGATTTAAGATTTAGAGCAAATTTATTTTCTGCAGATGAGCTAGTACACAAGCTTCAATAGGAGGAGAGTGCTGGAAAATACTGAATTTCATTAAAGCTCCAGTAAAAACAAAGCTACTAGTGAAGAAGGTACATGCATAGCCACTGTTGTGAGGGTCAGCAGGAAGGCTGTCAGTGCTGCTGTGGGAGGGAGGGATACTCAGCAATTCTGACAATGTTGTGGGTCCAGAGTTTCCTTGAAATAATTTCTGCAGAAGACGTGTTCTATATGTCCCTCAAAATTTTTAATTGCAGAAAATGTATGCTGCTGCATACAGACTTATTTGTTAAAGCATGTTGTTCACTGCTTCATGGCACATGTGTGATTAACAATGCTATTTTTTCCAACATTGGGGCACGTAGCATACTTTTATGTGATGTCACACAGCTTTTGCCATGTTGCACAATAAACTTTATCCTCCGAACTTCAGTTGATCTGGCAACATAATGAAATATGCCATAAACAGTTGCAGCTTTCCTCCTCCACATGAATGACTGTGGAGAGGGTTTTTTTGCTCGTTTAATTTGCTACTGTTCTCTTAACTCTTCTTGATAATGTAGCTGTGAGCAAGTCACTTTCCCTGAACAGTGACAAAAGCATTGTTTTGTAGTTTGTTCTTTTTAACTGTGAAAAGGGGGACAGGTGTGTCTTCCCTGCACCATCAACAGGTACTTACCCTTTCAGCACAGGCTCCTCTTGCTATGTTATTGCACTACTGAAGACTTGCTAGAGCTGGCTGGGAGTCACTGAGGGACATGTTTGGGCTGCTTAGCCATTCAGCTTGTGGTGCCTGGCTAGCTTGCTTTTGCAGAGTGTCACTATAGAAATCACCTTTTACTTTACAAGGCAAGCTCTTTAATTTTTTTTTATTTTTTTTTTAATTTTGAATGCATGGTGACTTGTGCAGTCACTCTTTAAGATGGTATCTTAAATTTGGGCGCAAGTCTTTATATTGTATTATAAGTCATGGCTAAATCATACATAATTTACTGTAAGTGTACCTTGGGTTTAGTGCTGTTCATTGTCATGTTTCCCCCCACCCCTACAAGGGGGAAACATTGCCCTTTTCCATGATGATTGCACTGCAGAGTGACAGCAAAGTGCTCCTAGTACTCAAGCTCTCTACCTCATAGTAGGGTGGAAACATATACGCAAGGGAAATGTATATAGTTCTTTGTACACTTACTCTAGCCTAACACATGTCCTGGCAGGTGGGTTTTGGTGTGCCAGCCAGTCAGTCCAGCTCTTGCCCAAACTTCAGCTGCAGGTTCAGACCTGCTGGCTTTGTTTCCCTTGATGAAGTCCCAGATGTCAGGTGTACTTTATTTTTATTTTTCTTTCAAACATCACATTTACAAGAGGTCTGGAACCATGAGCTTATGGACAGACCAGCCTTAACGGTTTACTGAGCAACTAGGGATAGACAATTAATAAAAAAGTTTTTAAATCGCCCTACTAACTGTGAATAATGGATTTGTGTTCAATTCAGTTTGCCACCGTGGTAAGCCCTTTGCTGCAGCCAGAACGCAGTTTCCATTGCTGCTTCAGGTCTTGTTTTCTCAAGGAATTTGAAGCAGCTCACCAGTGAAATGAGACATATGTTATTATTTTGCAGTTTGGACATTGAATCTGCTAAACCCCATGTACTTCCTTGCTTTCCTGAGACACTGTAAGGCAAAACAAAGGAAAAGTTTCTAGATTCTTATTTTAGCCTGTACAAATGGAAGCAGAGCCTGAGGTTTTCTTTAGAACCTTTGGTACAAATTTAAAGCAGTATCAAGTTTGTGAGAGCAGATTTAGTGGGAATAAGGGAGAAGATTGGAGTGTCTGTCATACAAGAAACCCAGGGTAATGTACTTGGTGAAAATATATCTAAGTGACTTGCATTCTGACATGCAAGGAGCACATAGCAGAAAAGGAAATCTAAGTGATTTATTACTTTATATATTTCTATTTTTTTCAACACTGGAAACACAACTAGTTTAGAAAATACAGTAGAGAAACTGATGAAGAAGAGTAACTGTGTTTAGATGCCTGCTGAATAGTCAGAAATCTTATTCATTAGAATCTTTATCAGGAATATCTGAAATGCTCTGCTTTGAAACAAATGGTTCTTCCCTGTGTTCCCCTCCATCCCAAAATAACACATTTTTTAAAAATTGGATGAAAATTGAAAGAACAAAAGATTTTTTTACATTATTTGCTTCCCTTCCCCCTATAACAAGTCTACTGATTTACTCATGCTGATATTTGTAAATATCATGAGGCAAACATAGTAACACTTATTATGTTTGCCTGGTGACCTGATCTTCCCAAGTCCCTTCATCCTCAACTGGATAGAAATACAGACCTACAAAAGAGAAAACCACACAGATACTCTTCAGAGCTTCTACATAAACCAGCATAATGATTTTAAAGATCGCTTTAATGAAATATAGGTGACTTGAATGGATGAAAGAGGCTTCAAGAAACTATGACATTTTAGATTGAAATGATTGCTAACCTCTGATAGATGTTATCAGTAGGTCACAGAAAGGTGTGCATTAGTGAGGTTACTGCAAGCTGTAGGCTTTTGGGAACAAAATAGTTTATAATGGGAAAGAAGGGTTCAGGAAAAGAACTGTAAATGTCTTTTCTTGTTCCTTTTAATGTTGTTTACTTGTTCTGTGTTCTTCTTTTCTCTGGACTTTTTCTTCTCTGGTTGCTCATAATTTCTACCCTAACAACCTCTTTTTTTACACCCTTTTTGTTATAAAATAAAACCTGCAATTTGAGCAATTTGGAATCTGGCAAATAATGTAAAAAATGTGCATGTGCCAAATTTGCTGTCTGAAATTGATTGATTGGTAAGAGACTTTTACATTGTGAATTTTTCTTGTAATTGCTTTGTGACTTCATTGGTATCACTTTGCTAAGGCAGGTTTTTCTCATCATAATATTTTAATACTAAAGCTCGAGAATAAGCACTTTCTTTCAGTGATGGAACTTTTATTTATGTGCATTGTTGGAAAATTTAGATTCTGATCCTTGTTGGTTGTAGAACAGGTGCAGTTGTTTGCTTGCTTCGCGCATAGTAGAGTTTTCATTGGAAATATTCCCACAGGGCATATGAAGGGCAGGTAAATCAGAATATGTGTTGCTGCTGTGTTGTTCTCCTTTCCAGCTTTACCTTTCTTAACACTTCTATCCCCGTCACTGAATACTACATTTGAAGTATCTATTTCACATAAAATATGAGAAAACCACAAAAATCACCATGCAGCATATCAACAATTTGTCTTACACAACCAATTATTCTTATTAGGCATGTAAACTCTAGTTTCAATTATCAGTTGACACTGAGCACTTTCAAATACCATTAAACAAATCAGGCTTGTGAATACGTATTTTTGAGCTGTAACTTAATGCTCTTCTTTAGAATCCGTGTCTCTAAAATGGATATTTCAACCTACTTAATGAAACTGTTAGAATGAGTGGACAACTGTAAGTGTAATATGGAACTGTCTACCTGATAAAATTCATTAGAGTGTACACATATGAGATGGCCCATGGCATTTCTTGGCTTATTTTGAGAACCATTCTTTAAAAATCTGTGAAAAATAGCCACATGCTCTTCAGGTAAGGCTTTTCTGGGATTGTAAGGTGGCTGTCCTTCACAGCTCTTTCTTCAGGTTGAATAGGAGTAATTTATGAACTTTGAAAACAAAAGACAAACAAGAATAATTAAAAAAAAAATAGTTGTAAGAGCTTGCTCAAAAGGTCCATGACCAGTTTTATGTGGATAGACCTGCACTGATTTTTTAAATGAACAAGGTCAACAGTCTGGGCTCACCTGTAGCTGAAATTTTGGGTCCTCTATCTGCAATGTGTTTATTTCACCCTAAATATAGCTAATACCCAATCTCAGGTCAATAAAACACTTTGAATCAAACTGTTCTCATTTTCTTTCTTGCTCACAGGTTAACATTGAGTGGCTCTATACTGCAGTTGCAGAAGCTATATGCTTTTGCCTGTTTTAAGTTCTCTGCTGCTTGGATTAGACTGCTACTAGTGCTTAGGCTTGCTACAATAAAACTAGGCTTTATGCTTCTTTATGTAGATGTGTCTTTGACAAAAAAAAGGATTTGAGACAGTTTTAACATGGCTAGCAATAGATAAATCCATACCTGGTGACTTGCAGTGGTACTTTCATTCTCAGATTCACTTTTCATCTTCAAAATAAGTACATGAAGTCTTGGCTTTACAGCAATTTCATACTTTCAGATGTCCATTTGTCTCTGTTAAATGAACTTCAAAGTCCACGTTTTTGTGATTCAACACTCATAGCATTAGATTTAGAAAGATGAGTTGCATGTGTGGAATCTGAAGTTGGAACTGATACTGTTGTAATGACCTACAGGCACGGGGGTACGTGAAATGAGAAATGTGCATCTTATACACACAATTTTTATAGTTCAGCTGTTAGGTACAGTAAATATTTGAGCCTGAAGACTTTACACAGCTGTTCTTAAATGCATTGATAAAGGTGTATTTTTCTTACAGACCACCAAAATTTTTCACTCATAGATTCCTTTAAAATTAAACCCTGGTGTCCTTTAATTTAGATTTCCTTTAGATTGTTTGTGGATGATTGAAACTAAGAAGCTATCTATAAGCCTCGAGCCATTTAATTTTATTTATTTTCTTATTTTCAAAACTGTTCTGCTTTATCCCTTCTGCGTCTGTATAGAGTATCAACTTGAGTATTTGAGAGCGCAGTTGCTCAGAATTGTTCTGAAGTATTTGATTGTCATCAGAAGTTCTCCAAAACTTCATTCTGTCAGCCAAGGTTTGAAACTTAAGGATTGAGTATAATTTAAGCATCTCTTGAAATTGCGTAGCTTTGAGTTTATTAATGGCTAATTTTTCAATCAGATAAAAATGCTGTACCAGATAATAAAACACAAGGAGGCCAAATTTAACCTCAAGCAGGTATCTTTCATTTGAGCTGCTGCTCATATCTGCCATCCTGGAATGCTTTAAATTCGATCATAGTCCCGTAGAGATTGTCTAATTAAACCAATGTCTTTATATAGTAATTTATAAATTAATATTCATCACCTTAGACCTTTTATGATTGAATGGAGATAAATATAAACTAAGTAAGCCTAGTAATACTCCTGCTAATTAAGTTTAATCATAGAATTGTCAAAGTTGGAAGCGACATTCAAGATCGTCCAGTCCAACCATCCACCTATCACTGTCTGTGTAGCCCCTAAACCACTAAACCATATCACCCAGTGCCAGATCCAGACACCTCTTGAACTCCTCCAGGGATGGTGACTCCACCACCTTCCTGAAGGCTTGTAAGTTCCTGTTTTCTTTTCTTCAACTTTCCCAAACATTGACCACCTTTTTGTCAACAATGCCACAATCCTCAATAATAAAGCTAAGGACAAGTTTGTGATAAAAAAGTCATATAAAATTATCTTTTATTTGAAATTAAATAATTTATGTTCTTTCTCAAATTAGTACAGAATGGGGAAATCCTTCTTTCTGAGGGGACATGCATTTTGATATACCAAGGAAAATCAACCTCAATTTAATTAAATTACAAGCCTGTGGAAAAAATCTTACTTTTGATATGCTCATCAGAGATTTCTTAAAACATGGCTAACTTCTATGAAGAACTTCTCTGTCAGACAGTTTTCTGGTTTGGGCTCAAGAAGGCCTCTGCAACTGGAACTGTGTACAGTTGTTCTCTAGACTGACCATGGGCCACTTGGCTGTTTGCTCTCTATGATGTGAGAGCAGAGAAATTCCATGCATGGGTTGTCCATGGCTCCTATGAGTGTGAGAAATGGACAGGTGTAAGCCAATCAGTTTGAATGCAAAACTTTGAAAAGTGCACATGGAACTTGGCATTAGAAGCTTTGGAGATTAAGAAGGAATCCAGGACTAGAAATTACAGTAATGAATGGATTAGGAGATCAGCTGACTGAGAAGGGAGTGACCAGCCAGAAAAACGTAACATCATGTGGGACTCAAATGAGAGGAACTGGAATTCATTTCCATGATCTCATGAAGGTACTATAAAGGCAGAGAATAGAGACAGGCCAAGTAGAGGACTGGGGAGAAACAGGTGTAGTGGGATCACAACTATAGGCAGAATGATAAGTGCAGATGAGGATTGGAGGGGAAGGAATTTAGACATGGAGTCAGAAGAGGTGGAAATGGGAAGAACTTGGCAAAAACCAGTTGTGATTGTCTGTATTGTGTGTGAATGCAGGCACAACAGGAGTCTGAGAGGCATTGAACATCCTTGCTGGACAAAGGTTGGTTCCAGTGTTCCGGGAATGGAGATGGAGACCAGGAGTCAAGACTGCAGTGAATGAGATTTGAGATGCAGTTTTAGGCTGGAAGGAGCTGGACAAAGAAATTGCATATTCAAGGAATGGGAAGAGTAGTTTGTGACCCTGTGGAGGATTTTGCATTTTTGATAATCACTCTTCAGATGGGAAACATCCTGATAAAATGCTTTGTTCCTATTTACTACTGTTTCGCTCAGGATTTTGTGATTTGAAGACCTGCAGTGTATTCCGGTCTGTACCACAGCATAACAGTTGATGGTAGACAAAGTCACATGATCAAGCTTTCCCCAGATGTTCACTGATTTAGTTTGTGGATTTCATACTTCTGAGTTCATTGCTTCCTGTTGCTTCATTTGCAGACAAGCTGAGGAGTCTCTAATACTTTAACTTAATTCAGAAAATTGATTTTGAAGTTTTAAGTTCATGGTAATTTTAAGTACTGAGAAAAATGGGATACCCAGAATTAGACGATGCATTTCATTTTGATCTGTTAGCTCAAAGGTTTCTGAAGACTGAATTGTGTTTTGTAATGGTGAAGCATGCCATTAGAAAACCTATGAGAATATTAGTAAATCTGCACACAAAATAATTTATACAGTTAGTAATGCCTGGGGCAATGAACAGAACAATAAGGAGTAAACAAACCAGTCACTAGGTAGGTGTGCTCATTGCTTATTTAGCTCTAAATGTGACAAGACATAATAGAAAATGGTTAGATATTAACATACCAAAAAGTTGCAGTTTTCTTCCAGAAATCTGTTTTCTAGGAAATACACAATGTGCAATGGAAAGTTAACCAGGCCAGTCCTTTCCTAAGCTTGTCATAACTGTCCTTGGTTTTTCAACCTTGTGGGAAGCATATAGATGTGTTCAAACGCAGTTCAGTGTCTTAAATGAAAGCTATTTCAGGGGTTTGTTTGTCCTTAACACTGGTAAATAGATTGAGCTTTTAATCATACTGCTGAAGAATAAGGCATGCCAAATTTTAAAAGGCAGCACAAAATTTCACCCTGCTCATTTGTTTTCCAGGGTAATAGGCTTATTTGGCTCCTTTAAGTGTAGTTGTCGGTCTTCCTTGCAGAAAAATACCCTGACTGCATGAGGCATTTGATTTTAACAAAGTGGAGTCTATAAAAAAAATACTGTGATTCTGCACTTCGAAATGTAGATATCAGGTTATCATATAATATTTACTTTCATCTGAACCTTTCAAAAATTCTAGTGGTTTCTGCACTGTTGGGCACAGCATGTGAGAAGCCTTGCGCTGTGACGCAGCTCTGACGTGTGCACCTGAAACTGGAAGGTTGTAAAGGGCATACAGAGTCAGAGATCTCAGTTTTAAATATGGTGTATGTACAAGCTGTGGATGTCAATGTACACACATGCTCTCAACACCTTAAAAGCCTTTTAAGCCTTTTTTTTTTTCTGTACTGAAAGTATTGATTTCCACCTTACTTTTCTTTCTGTAGCTAATAGGGGTGCAGATTAAATACTGGTCTTCTGCAAACTTTTTTATTCTTGCTTTGCTATACATTTCCTACCACACAGTATTTAAATGCATACCATAGCCTCAGTGATCAAATGAAGGTTCAAAGTCATATCAATATCATAAAGAGAAAGCATATCCATGAAATTTCAAGTTGTTTTATCTGTACCGCCTTCCTACGGTAATTGCAGAAATTTTATATTAAGATCTATTTTAGTTGGAAGGGAAAATATTCTCTTCAGCCTGTTTAGCCTGCCCACATTTTTATTATTTATGATGTCTGTAGTGTCTAATAAAAAATTATTTGGCTTTTTTGCCCGGTGCTTGTTTGATAGAGAATCACTGTTAATCTAGATGCTGAATCCATATGTTGTTGGCATTGCTTTCACAAAACATCCATATTCTACACTGACAAGTAATGGTAACTGTAGTAATCAGTGGGATTCTAATGAGCAAAATAAGTTCTTCTAATTATCTCATAAACCTACTTTTATGACTGGAAGTACAAAAAATTATTACTTGAAAGTGGTGTTATCTTAAACCACTGGAGAAATTGAAGAGACTTTACTTCTATACATCAGGTTGCCCATAAATCCCAAGAGTAGGGTTCTCCACAGGTAGGAAGGAATGCAAATTATTCTCAGTGTAGCAAGACAAAGCATCACACTTCTGCCTGTCCTTGACTGTTTGAAGTAAAAAGCTTGAATCTTGCCTCATTTACACAGGGATAATTGGAAGTCTATCTTAAAAATCAGCATAATGAAAATGAAATTCTCCATGAGGATTTCAACTTAAAGTTTTCCATTTAAAAGTGTCAAAAATATGGTTGAATTGTTATTTGGTTGTATAGTGTACAGCATTTCTAATGGAGCAGAGATATCAAAAATAACACCAAGATATCCCCATTCCCATGACTCTGCTTTAATTAAGTCACACAACATACATGCTGAGGAAAAAGGTTATCGGTACATGTGCATGCTATTCTGATAAAATAATAAAGCCTGTACATGTAATGAGTATTGTTGGTAATGAGTACTTGATACTTGTATTCCAACAGTCCAAGACTATGTAATGCCAGAACTAGAGTAGCAACCTTAAAATTATACAACCAAACCTTTTCAGAAGTCACTAGTGATTTTAAATAGAATCAAACTATGAAAAGGATCTGTTTTGAAAATACCTCAAAACTGCTGGGTCACTGCACTTGAAAACCAACCCTTTGAACTTGCTCACCGGTCATCAAAACTGGAGATTTCCAGAGATTTCTAGGATGGTTTCAGGTGTGTCATGGGAAAAGAGGTGCTCTGGATAAGGTAAATAATTTTTCTACTTGTGGGGGAGGATTGCTATGAACATCTAACCTGCACTTTCAATCTCACATATGCTTTGGATTAGCAAAATTGGATTAAAATTGCATTCTGTAGCTTAACAATAATATAATGAACTACAAAACCTTATCTGTTTTTTTGGATTTTTTTATTTACTATAGTTTTACAGTAAAAACTGAGCAAACTTTTTCAGGGTTCTCTGTTTCTGAGAAGACACAGGAACAAGTTTTGACTACTGAGGGTGTGCATTATGCCAGAAGTGTTGGCGAGAGGAAGATGACTGTTTTATGTGGGAGACTGAATGTATGAGAACATTTTCCTTAGTGAAAAAAAGGAACCTACTGTCGGTAATATTGATCAAGCTGATAGTCACTAGGCAACAAGTGCCAGACAAAATTTATGTGGAAAATGCTGGAGATCAGAAAAGTGATGTTGTTATTGAAGTTATTTATTATCAGCTAAAGGGAATTTTAAAGGAGTCAAGCAACTGACAGTCTAATATAAGGCATGTTTCAGGTTTTGGAGTAAAGTCTTGCAATAATATGGCTTCTAAGTCTGTCACGAATTGTGCATATTTGGCGAGCATCAGGCTTCAAGCTTATAAAGGGATACTGATTTGTTGCTTCACATTCTTCATTGATGGAGAATAAATTTGGACAGGATTCAGCTGTTTACAAGAATTAACTGCTGGAGAGATTTTATAGTTACTATCTTTTACGAATTTTAGGCCTTTTGAGTGTATTGATTGATTAATATTCTGTGTATTGCCAAGTTGGTTGTTTTACTAAACCATGCAACCTGAAAACTGTCTTTTCCTTTGACATTAAAATCTATTTCCTAAAATAATAATCAGGGGTATATCTCTGCAACCTCAATTAAAATGCCTAGTGAGAAGGGCAAGAAGTAGCTGGCAAAGGACTATGCATCTTGCACAGACTCAGATCACTGAGGCCTCTCAATGCTGCTGTAATATTATATATGAATGTATATTATATATGAAACAGTTAAGTATTTGTGACCTTTGGGCATTATTGAAAGGATACAGTATCAGGATACAGACCTTAATTTCCACAGCTGCATCCTGAAGTCATTTGTACCACAGAGAACATTTTAGGCCATGGTGAGCAAGTGATGGTTTTCATAGGACCAAGGGACTTGTAGTTGTAAGACTTCTTTGGTCATCTGTATCATAACAGGAATGTTGCTTTACCCTGTGTACTGTTACCAAATGTTTACAGTTCCACTGACTGGGCATCTGTGGTATTTTCACTGTGTTTAGTATCTTGTAAGACTCTGAACTGTATGTAATATTTGATTTTGAAAGATAAATTATATCAAGGAATTGATGATCCTAATTTAGGGACACTTTGTTCCTCTCTATGTAAAGATTTAATTATTTTTAATTATTTTTAAATTATTTATTTTTATTATTTTTACCTTGTTGTTAAGAATTTATGATATCTTGTGGTTCTTTTACTGCCCTTGGTAAGAAGATCATGCTGCTGCTAGTGGTTGCAAATTTTTTTTTTTAACGTGTGTTGGACCTTGTCTAGTAATCTTGATCATCCCCCAGGTGTGTGGGGATACACTTTTACTAGTGTATTGGGTGCTATGACCAAAAGGTCCTTTTCT